CTGTGGGCAGTCAACATTAGCAAAACGTCTTGTGCTCTGCAATCAGATTACCCAGCTTGCCAACCACTGCAGTGTTTTCTAGCACTGGTTTATCTGGGCACTTTCAGACCTTGCTACAAATTTGCAAAATTCTTAAGAATATGCATATATCTGTTTGTAGACCAGGATTTTTGTAAATCTTTACCATGAGGGCAAATATATACAAAAACTAAAAACATACTGTAGAATTTCATGTCTTAAAAACCTTTTAGTCATTTTAAAAAACATTCCCATGGAATCAGATTTGTTTATGTTTGTACAGCTGTCTGAACATATAATCTGGCCCTTAAATGGAAACCAGCGAACTCCTTACTCACATTAGTGAGCATTTACTCACACTAATAGAATTATGTCCATTTTGCTGTTATGTACTATGGATTCACAACTCCTCTAAAGTAAGGATGTTAAGGACTAGTCGACTATCTGATAAGCAAATGCTTATTGGATAGTGGGCAGGATAGTCGACTAGTTGCTTCCTCTCCCCCCCCTTTGCTGTCTCTGAAGACAGGGGCACTGCACAGAGCCTGGGATCAGCTATGCGGTGCTACTTCTTTGAAATGCTGTCACAGTGTTTCAAAGGGGCAGCACAGCGTGGAGCCCAGGGTCAGCTGGGGAGTCCTCAGCTGACCCCAGGCTCTGTGCAGTACTGCCCCTTTGAAACACCATGGCAACATTTCAAAGGAGCAGCACTGCCCTAGCGACTAATCTAATAGTCAATGCAAAAATGCATTGACTTTTCGATTAGTGAATTACATGCTACTTAACATCCTTACTCTAAAGATCAGTCCCTAAACTAGAACATAAATATATGGCCTTTCAACCCATATATCACTGATCATATATTTACATTTTTGAATAAGATATCAGTAGTTACATGCAAATAAGATTCATAGGTCACTAACAAACCTGGCACTGAGCATGCAGTTATTTACATGTGGATGCCCAAGGAGCAGAAGCCCTTCAGGATCAGTAATAGACATAATACATCTTTAGGACAAGGATTTTATCTGATTCTTTCCAGTCTTAAATTCCTGGGTTCTTTAAGGGAAATGCTGTATTACCTCTTTCACAAAATGCTTACATAAATTACTTAAAGCACTTTTGCGTGGGAATAATAAATTAAAGGATAATACCCACATACTTGGTCCAGTCTGTCAACCCATGAAATGTACAATTAATAAATGATACCAACAGAGATAGTGCAATCTATACAGTGTTTTCAATCTTTACTAGAGGACCTGGAAATATTCTAATTGAAATATCACATCTACCCAAAATAAAGAGTCCAGAAGATACTGTAAAATTATCCCTCTTAAATCAAAAGCAACTATGAAGTTATTAACTCTTTATTTCATACGACAAAGCACATCCATACAGTGCCAATTTTGGTTGGGAAATTTTCTTTTCAATCAGATTAAAGAATTTCAAGTCACACTATTAAGAGAACTGGCAAGCTCTGCTGCTCTCGTCCAATTTAATTAGCTTTTTTTCAAATACTTGTTAGTAACAAGGATTTTCAGCATCAACTCCTCATCAAGAAAAAAACAGCCCTTTCTAATTACAGCTTTGCAATGAGTTAGACAAAAAAAAAACTCTTTTCTTTCC